CCCTCAATTCACCTCCTCCGAATTCCAAGCTTTCTTACAGGCAAACCTGATTCGTCATGCCACGTCTGCGCCTTTTCACCCGTCCACCAACGGTATGGCTGAACGCATGGTGTGCATCGCAAAGGACGCCTTGAAGAGACTCACCTACGGGGACTGGCATCACAGGTTGGCTGACTTTCTCCTTTCTTATCGCACCACACCGTCCACTTCTACAGGGAGAAGTCCAGCTGAACTTCGTTGGGGGCGCCAACTTACTACTAGACTTGACCGGTTGCATCCGGACAGACTGCCTTCATCTACCTCACATCCTAGGGCACCTAGACAACTACTTGTGGGTGCCCCGGTTTGGGCTCGCAATTACGGGCCTGGTCATACATGGGTCCCCGCTTCTGTGTCCAGGATCACAGGTCCTCTCTCCTACGAGGTTGCCCTGGACAACGGTCGTGTCCTGCGTCGGCACATCGACCAACTTCGCTCTAGGCGAGACTTTTCTGCTGAGACTCCTGGGTCTTTTCCGGGGGGGGGAGGGGGACCCTTTGGAGCAAAGGGAAGGGCAAGAGCTACTGCCCATCTCCACTGAGGGAGCCACAAACGGCTCGTCCCAAGGTTCTGCAATTGCTCCGAAAAGAAAGTCATGGAGCTTACCCACACAACAGTCACTCACGCCTACTCCAGCCAGGGAGTCACCCCGGGGGCATACTCACTTTCCACACACATCACACAGCACTCCACCAACGGAGGATACCCGGGGGCATCCCAACAAATCATTCCCCGCAAGAGAGCTGGCACACAATTCCCAAGGTTGGCCTGACCTTACCCCAAATCCTACAGGGGGTCAAACATACACAGAGTTAGTCGAGGAACCAAGTCCCGACTACAACAACCCTAGCACAAATCAGGGAACACCTGAGTTTTGGGAAAGTACAGAAACCCACACGAGCCCGAACACAGAATGGGGTTCAGGGAATGGACAGCCTCCTGACAGGTCTTGGACTGACCTAGGAGGTTCTACAGAGACGCCCAGCAGTGGCTATCACTTCAAGGGGCCTGAGGGTCTACAGCTAGGTAGGTCAACCAGGTCACAAAGTAACAGAAGCCCTGGCCTGACGAGCCCGGTGGGCAAGCAAGCAGGCCAGGCATCGGGGCACAGTCCTTGGAAGACACCAGGACACAATAGAGAGAACAGGCTCACGCCTCCCTCCAGTCAGGGGACTTATGCCAGTAACCCAGAGCTAAGAAGGTCACAGAGAGCAAAGAAATCTCCTAAGTATCTAGAAGATTACATAACATTGCTGGCAAGGCAAAAGCCAGTAATCAGTGGGAGCCCTGGGGAGCAAAATGTCATATAAAATAAATGTTGTATGTTGGTAGTAGTTTTAGCCCGGGGGAAAGGGGTGTTATGTCCCGAGCCTTTGCAAACGGCTCGGGCGTTTGCAGGCAGTCCCGGGCAGGTGCAAAGCTGCCCGGGACCAGACAGGCTGTCGCCAGCGCCGTGCGCATGCGCGGGTGCTGGCGCGGGAAAAGTAACCCATTTACCCGGGAGTTGCCTATATAAGAGGCTGCGAGGCGTTTGGGCGAGGCTGAAGCCATCTTCATGTAAGCTGAACGCTGAATAAATGAAACTGAGAACTCCAGCTGCTTCTCGTGTCTGTTTTCCCGCCACGGACACAACAATTTGGTAAATGCAACTTCTGCTGCTTATCAACATTCTTAATCATATAAAATTAATATTAGATATATTTCATGGATCTGATTTGCCAATTCTGATTAAAGTAACAAATTGTGAGATTATTTTTTTTCTAAAAAGGAAATTATACACTTGAAAATGCTTAGAGAAATAATTGAAGTAACTAGTGGTAATGAGAATCCCTAATCCATACAAAACATTAGATTTATACTTCTATAGCACAGATGTCAAACTCAAAAATTAAAGGCAATAATTTGACAAACTATTCTAAGCCCCAATTTGATTCCCTTGACTACGTGAAATAAAATCTTCACCTCATTTTTTCTAACCACAGAGTTGTAGATTTGCCTATCTATTTTCTTGTTATCTACTGCCTAAACAATTATCTGAACTGTATGCTTATAAGGCAGTAACCATATTAAGCAGTTACTAGGGTAGAAAAAGAGAACATAATTAAGTCTGAGCAGGTTAAATGTCCCTATGTATATGCCCAAATTCCCAAAGCTGGACAGCAAGTTGGTAAAAAATTTTTTAAAAGCTAATCCTTTGAGATTTTTTACAGAAATCTGAAATTTTCAGTTTCCAGCCGGCCTGCATAACTACAGAGATAATTTTGCTTACAAGATATCAATTTTTCTTATGTTAGCTGAAACAGATATAAACTGAAATCCAAAAAGAGATTGGTGAATTTTGGAGAAGGCTAATTTAGTGCAAAAAGTTGCTTCTCGTAAGAAGAGTTAAATCATTATCACATTTGGCATCTATATACTGAATTTAATCCAAATATTTATACAGATTTACTATTTCTTTTTTGAAGGCTTCAGAAATAGTTACCAACATTTCCTGGGGCTGTTCTATAAATCCAGGAAGCCATTAAAGCTCTGCTTTTAAAACAATTCTGAGACTATATAGAATCAACTACATGCAGCAAAAATCTGCTAATTCCATTTCTTATTTCTGATGCTTTTCTTTCAGTGTTACCCACAAAAACACATTTCATAACAATGCTAAAGACAAGTAATAAACATTTCATTTTGCCAGGGCATAAATTTTTATATCAAGGAAGTTCCTCTAAATGCAAAAATTCAGTTAAAATGCTGCTCATTTAATGAACTCCTCAATGTTTATACTCCCTCTTCCAGTATTTGTTAAATCATTAAATGTGATTTGAAATAATATTTTATGCCTTGACAAATATGTAAGCATGCAAACCATTATGCTGACTAGACATAGGATAGAGACTGTATTATTTTTCTCTTGAAAAAGTTGTATTACATATATATAGCATGTATACAGAAGTTGTACACATATGGTTCATATCGTTCCTCACTCAGCTGAGAATATATGTGTGAAAATTAGTTCCATGTTTTTAACTCCCATCTGAATGGCTTAACTATTGTTGAGAATTTTGCAGAATCAATTGTGCCGAGTTTAATTTTGTAACAAAATTCTAGAGTTCTAAAATTCTTCTAGAAACCATGAGGCTTTTCAAATAATTGCTCCAGGGTTTCATTTTTAAAATCCCAGTTTTTTGTCTTTTCTGTTACTTCAGTATATCCAAACAGAAATGTTAGATGTTTAAAATAAAAACCTGACATTTGTAATACTTCAAATATGTCTGATATATAATGTTAATGGATAATACAATGCATTAGTTCTTATAAAGATGCATAATCAAACTTTGTAAAAAGTATTTGCTTAAATATCAAATTTCTTTCATTTTGACTGCAGTATAAAACTTGAAATAGAGGCACTGAACAGTAAGCTCCCCTCAGTACGAGAGAAATATATATTTATATATTATGCTGTTTCAAAAACAGCAATGGCTGCAGCCCTAAACACATCTACTCAGGGATAAATCCTAATGAGAAAAGTGGTAAGTTATTTCTAAATAAGAACCAACATTACTGATTTGCAAGTCATCTCTTTCTGTTTATCCTGCTTAGACTTCATTAAGTGCACCATTTATAGCAACAGAGTCCTTTTTCTTAATGAAAAATCTACTGCCAAGATTAGCTTCTCTTTCAAAAACAAATAAAGAATATGCCACCATTATATTTTATTGTAAATCACTTTAAACTACCATATCAAATTCTTCATCTATCATCTCATTAATATCATTCTAAATGTTAAAAGTCAATGTTTTTTTCTTGATAATTAAATATCAGCAGGCATCCTCTTATAACTTGGACAATTCCCAGTTAAAGTTCATATAGTTAGTCTCTTATTGAGACAGAATATAAGCTGTAAATGCTAAGCTGTGGAAAGCTACTCCAACAGTGATTTGACTGGATATTCCTTAGCCTCTTCTTAGACTTAAGAAAGACTGTCCAAGAATCTCAACAACTGAAGACATGAGCACCCTCTTCATCATCTTCAGCTTCTCCACTTAACTGAACACTGCTAGAAAGATATTTATTTCTAGATCCTAGAGTTGAATTCAGCACTATGGGATTACTAAATACAAGAGGCTGTGTGAGAGGATTAACCATTTCTGAATCAGAGTCACTAGACTCTGTTCCACTGCTTGTAGACCCTTCCGTCATTTGTATAGTAGACATACCCCTGGCATACAAGGATTGCATGATGGGACTTTGTTTTGATGGTGCAGTTGCTGGCATACCATTTGCCATACTTTTCCCTTCTAAGGGGACCATTTTAACCATTTGCCTTTTACAAAACCTCTCTGCTGTATATTCTTGAGCTGGAGTTGAAGATCCTTGGCTCAAAATAAATGGATCTGTTTCAGATTTGTTACAAGCATTCTTACATCTTTGCAATGGGGGTCTTTGCAAAACTGGGGAAAACCTGGTATAATTATGGTAGCTAAAAGTATGTCCATCATTATTTTTCCTCTTCGCCCTACATTCTTCAGAGATTTGAGTACCTGGACTACCAATACTCATGAGGGGACTTGATCTTTTGCTGCTCGAATGCAAGGGAGTAGTCAGTGGACTACGGATATCTGGGCCATTAAACATTTCTTCAACCAGTGTACTATGCTGTGGGAATCTGAGATTCTCACCAGGAGAAAAGGAGATATTACCAGAGGTGTTATCACTGTAGTCTTCCATGACCTTGTAGAATGCCTTTATAGGGAAGGCAGAGGATTCCTTGTACCTATTTTTAATATGATTTTCACCCCTACAATCAACATAAACTCCACTGGTCAAATCACCCTCATAATTGTCATTTGTTTGGGAATGTGACTGACTCATTTGCCCTCTGAGGAGATCGTACTCGCTATCTACATCACTGCAGTCAATAAAAGGTATTGATGTGCTACTGCCATGAGTAGCTCTGGATGCAGGACCTGTGCTTGGCTGCTGTGTCTGAGATCTGCTGAGCTGTGACCTGTCCTTTACGACCTCCTCTTCCTCCTCCATTGTTGCCATTGTAGTACCATTTATCCCCTGGCCTTCCTTAGGGCTTTTTTTCTGGGAAGGAATTGTGTGTGGTCCACCATCTTCCACTGAAATATTTAATTCCTTTCCCTGTTGGCAGCTTTCCACAACCAGGGAATCAGCACCATCTCCATAGGTAAAACTAGAACTCTGGAAAGAGAAAGGAAGAAATGTGATACAAGAGGCAATAAATTATCATTAATCTTTATAGCAACTGTTTTACAAATTCAACATAAATAAGACTCTCTTCAGTATAAGAAACTCTTTATTTTCACCTGCCCCCCATTAAAACCACCTTGGATATTACATCTAGGGCAGGGGTGTCAAACTTGCAACGTCACATGACGTGTCGCAATGTATTGTGACTTTTTTGCCATTGCCGGCAATGGGGTAAGGCGCGGTTTCGCTATGATCCGGTCTATGGGCGGGCAGTTTGACACCTCTGATCTAGGGTGTTCATTCTCTAGTCTTTCTTTCTGTAATATCTTAGTCCTTTCCATAAAATACTGGAAGAAAATAGCTTTAACTCTTACCAAATTATATCGAAATATGCAGATTAAATAAATCTCATGTAATTTACTACTGCAATATGAAGGTATATATATATATATATATATATATATATATATATATATATATATATATATATATGCGGGTGTTTGTATGTAGGTCTTTGGTTATTCGGGTTTTCTCCCGCGTCAAATTGGAAGTGTCTTGGCGATGTTTCGATGAAATCTCATTCGTCATCTTCAGGCTGGTGCTTTCGGCTTTGTGCTTCTAGGACAGCGGTTCTCAACCTTTGTGTGACGGCGACCCCCGTCATACGGACGTGGCGCGCATGTGCGGCACGGAGCGCATGTGCGGCGGCGCCCCATGCGCGGTGCGCATGCGTGGCGGCGGCCCATGAGTGACGCTGCCCCCATGCGCAGTGCGCATGCGTGGCACCGCCCCCGTGTGCAGGGCGCATGCGCGGCGCCCCCCATGAGCAGCGTGCATGCACGGCGCCGCCCCCTGAGGGGGAAAAATGGCGGATTGTGTTGTTTGGCGACCCCCGTAAAATGGTCGTTCGACCCCAAATGGGGTCGCGACCCATAGGTTGACAACCGCTGTTCTAGGAGCAATGTGTGATTGTAGCTGTTTTTTCCTTTTAACTGCCAGTGGGGGTATGACCTGATTGGGTGAGAGCTTGGCTGTGTTCTGATTGGGTGGAGGTGTGTTCTGATTGGTTAGGAGCTTGGCTGTGCTCTGATTGGATGGGGGGTTGGCTGTGCTCTGATTGGATGGGGGAGTGTTCTGTTTGGGTGGGGGCTTTGTTGTGCTCAGGTTAGTCTGAGTTGCAGGGGGATTTGAGATAGTGAGCTGCATTGCTGTTGTTTGGCTTCACTGATTCTGTCTGTGTTTGGATTTTAGTGGGGGTTTCTTTTTGGATTAGTTTGGTAATCTTATTTCTTTGGAATCCCAGACATAGAACAAGAAAACGGCAAAGCCCTCCTCCCATACATAAAAGGCACCACAGACAGAATCAGCAAGATCCTCAACAAACACAACATCAAGACAGCATTCTGCACAAACAGAAAAATATCCACCATCCCAAGAAACCCCAAAGACAAAATTGAGTTAAAAAATCAAGGAGTTTATGAAATCCCATGCACTGCTTGTCCCACCACATACATCGGACAAACCAACAGAAGAATAAGTGCACGCACTGAAGAACATAAGAACTCAGTCAAAAAAGAGGAACCAACTTCTTCCCTGGTCCAACACCTTAAAGCCACAGGACATGAAATTGACTTTAAAAGACCAGAACTATCGCCAAAACTGAACACTTTAATAACAGAATAATCAGAGAAGACATTGAGATAGAAAAACGCCCACACAGCATGAATAAACGAGATGATACCTCCTGCCTACCAGCCATTTGGAAACCCGTCCTTAGTGACAAACGAGTCCCTAACACAAAGAATGACACCAGACCCACACTCACGAAAACCACACAGGATGTCACCACCACACATCCACGCAAAAAGCAAACCCAAACCCACACCGATGATGAAGCACGACCACAAACCAGAAGCCAGACCACAGCTGCATCATTAGCCACTTTAAACCACTCCAATCCATACATGAAGCAAACTGACACCCACCATGAAGATGAGGCATGACCACGAACGCGAAGCCAAACAACAGCAATGCAGCTCACCATCTCACCTCCCCCTGCAACTCAGACTAACCTGAGCACAACAAAGCCCCCACCCAAACAGAACACTCCCCCAGCCAATCAGAGCACAGCCAACCCCCCATCCAATCAGAGCACAGCCAAGCTCCTAACCAATCAGAACACACCTCCACCCAATCAGAACACAGCCAAGCTCTCACCCAATCAGTTCATACCCCCACTGGCAGTTAAAAGGAAGAAACAGCTACGATCACACATTGCTCCTAGAAGCACGAAGCCGAAGACACCAGCCTGAAGATGACGAATGAGACATCGTCGAAACGTCGCCAAGACACTTCCAATTTGACGTGGGAGAAAACCCGAATAACCAAAGACCTACACACACACACACACACACACACACACACAGAGAGAGAGAGAGAGAGAGAGAGAGAGAGAGAGAGAGAGAGAGAGAGAGAGAGAGAGAGAGAGATTTCTTTTTGCTGACAAGAGTTAAAGATTTAAGTGGGAGACTAGTATAGCTATTTCGGACTCATTTGTCCTCATCAGCTAGCCACACCCTTTATGGGATTCGAACCAGGGCAGTCTACATGATAGGCAGTGTATTAACCACCAGGTCACCAGCTCTCCTCCTCTCTTTGTCAGTTGAGTCAAGGGAGTATACAGAAAGCTTTTCAGACAGACCGGTCTGATGCCAAGGTGCAATCAATCAGACCGGTCTATCTGAAAAACTTTCTTTTACTCTGAGGACGCTGGCAGGGGACCAGCGAAAGTTAAGTTGTTTCTTTTAACATTGTAAATAGTTGTTTTTATTGTTTTTAAATATCTTTTTATCAATAAACATCTGGTTTATACCTCTCCCAGAGATTGAAGGCTGTGTTATTGAACAAATATGCCCAGGATTCACATTTTTAACAATGGTTTTATATTAATCCAGACAGAAGCAACAGGTCTCATTGCAGCATGAATGAGTGAATGCAATCTCACACACATCCTGTTTGTGGGCTTTAGGGGTAAGCTTTGGATCAAGCAAGGACCAAACCAGAAAACAGATGACGATAACTGAAAACACTGACAGAAAATTCCAATACAGCAAATGACTCAATCTATCCCAGTTCAAATGAAACCCTTTCATGAAACTGCCAAAAGCAATACCATAACAAAAAAAACCTGCTTCCATAAAATTGCATGGCACAGAAAAGAATGAACTGGGGTTGGGAGTAGGAGAAGGAAAGGGAAAGGAAGGATTTAAGAGGACGAGATTCAGGGATCATTTGTTCTGTTTTAAAAGTGAGTGAATCTTGAGCTCACACTCCTATTATTTGCCTCGGTCGCAATGACTTAAGAAGAGCTGGATAGAGAAGTAAAAAATAAGTGTGTTTCACTTAAAGTATCTCATCATTGTTGCTTAGTCTCTGAGCACTGGCATATCCTCTTATTAGTGAACAGATTTGACATACTTTCTCTTTCGTTTAATTTGTCATCATTGCTTATTCTTGACGTTTTTATTATCTTTTTGATCTATTCTTTCCCCAACATCCATTTCCAAGCATTTACATTACTTTGTACACAATGTTTCAACTGTATTTATTTAGACCTCATTTGTTTAAATAATTCTTCAAGATTGATTTTGGTCAACTTCCTTTGGGAATGTGTCTACATCTCCTCTTCTTTGTCCTTACAAACAATGCCACACACCCCTGTTAGACCTCCCAGATTTGTGTGAATTTGCTAAATACTCAGTTTCAGTATTTTTATTGGTAAAGCTCTTGTTGAAGTTAAATCTTTTCTGTCTGCTTGCATTTTCCATTTATTCAACAGCATTCCAACCAGAGGGATGTATACTGTTCTTTCAAGCAATTTATTTGCACTCCTTAAATAACAGTACACAACAAAGAACAAAACAGCATTTGGATTTTTAGTTAGCAAAAGCATGAAAAATAACTGACTTGTTTTGGCACCACAGAAAGTTGCTCTGTAGATTTTGGAGTCAGACTTCTAACAGAATGGATCTTGCTGTGTTTTCTGTGGAGAGAAAAAGAACAACTGAAGCAGGGACAAAAGCCTTGAGCTTTTGGAAGAAAGGCGGACTATAAAATTAACCAATAAAATTAATTGAAAATTAAAAATGTTTGCACCCAACTCCTCAATTTCCTTAACTCTTGTAGTAATTATGGAAAACAAAAACCTCAAATAAACATATTGCTTTTGGGGTGTGTATATGGGGTGTGTCATTATGGTGACATATACATACTTCACTAACATATTACAAAAACTTAAGAAAAGGAGGACCTCTGATTCCAAAATCTGACTCAGAATGTAAAACCTGTTGTTAAAATCAAGATTTAACTCATCACGTTACAGAGGTCTTTGGAAATAGATTTGGCAACGGCCAAAACCCACTCTACTATTGTCTAACATTTCACTACTAGTAGTTAAATTGATTTTTTTAAAGCAGAAAAACATTAAACATTAGTAACAGTATAATCCAAAGAGTGTTTTGGAACATCTGTCATCAGAGCTACCTTCTTTGGACAGAAAACCTCTTCTGCTCTTAGCGTAATTCTCTGCCAGCCAAGTCAGAGGTCTCCCAGCGGAAGCACTATGCTTGCTAAAAGTTTCAGAAGAGGTGATTCTAATAAAAAGATAACATGCAGGAGCTGGCAAGTTGGAACTATTTACTCAAACAAAGGGGACAAAGAGCAATACAATTAGTCACTGAACAAATATTCTCAGAGTCAAAATACCACTATTTCTGCTAGAGGAGCAAGTAGCTAAAGGCTTCTGGATGGGGAAAAATATGCAATGCTTTGCTTTTCCTGCATTCATGGTTGCTTTTCTTTCAGCAAATGTGCAACCAACTTTTATCCCAACTGCTTCTAGCTATCATGTGGCTAACTAAGAAAAATCCTGAACAAGAGAAAGATCTTTAAAAAAAATGATATATCATCATCATCATCACTGTCATCATCATCAAAAGTATCTCAAACCTTTCAAATTGCACTTTTTTATGTCCTCCTTCTTTAACATAGTCAAGGACTTGCTTCTGAGTACGGCCACTAAGGGGAAGGAAGGAAGGAAGGAGAGAGAAAGGGAAGGAGGGAGAGAAAGAAACAATTATAAAAATGGAAAATTAATAACTAATAACATTATTTTTGGGGTTTATTCCTATATGTTCTTATCGCATTTTGTTTTCTTATGGGCAGTAGCTGATGTTAGAAAAAATATTGGATGAAAAGTGCAGTATGCATTGTTATCATCCTAATTGTGGCTCTGAAAATAACCTCTGTGCTGTTAAGTCAACTACTCTAAAAACAATATTAGAAAGTCTACTGGTTTTATGAACTTTAAGAGGCTCAGATATTAATTATATTATTTGTAGGCACTGGCAACAACTGAGTGCCTTAATGTTAAATGCAATCCTTTGGTTAGATCCCCAGGGAGCTCAAAAACTTTCTAAGGAGATGGAGAAAACAAAAACCAAATATTGCAAAAAATATTGAGATTGGTAACAGTACTATATATTGTAAATTCCAGTAGTTTTACAATTATTTTGTTTTTTTACATTTATTATTCTGCAAATTATCCCAAGAAAAGGGTTGCACATCTACTAGTATCCAGGTGATGGCGAGATGGGACAAAGATGGAATGTGCATCATGATATTAGTACAAATGTTACAACTTGCATTCTTACATCAAACTTCATTATGCAGGCACATAATTACCATATTTCTGTGATAACATCATGATGTAACACATATGCTCACATATAAATCCATTTATGGATAAACTGACCCTCAAATTGTTTAACCAAAATACCATGAAAAATGCAATCACCTATGGATAAGCTCATCATATTTTTTTCCCATGGTACTTTGAGGGTCTGCTTAGTCATGGATGGGCTTACATGCAAATATATATGGAGTGTACAAGTATTTATGAAAGGTATTACCATATATACTCATGAATAAACCAAATCCAATTGGGGGTCTATTTTGGCTCCTAAAATTCTCGATTTATCCTTGAGTATATACAATATACCTATTTAACAAGCACTTGTTCAGAAACCATTTAAATGTACAATGGCATCAAACAAGTGATACATACAATGGTCCTTGAAGTTCTGGCCATCAGAACTTCCTGTGGTCACATGGCTGCCAGTTGTGATGTTCTTTGCTGACTCCCTATAACAGTGGTTCTCAACCTTTTTAATGCCGCGACCCCCAAGCGGTCGTAGGTCGAGGACTACTCAAGCGGTCTTAAGTCGAGGACTACTCAACTGGTGCAGCACTGTTTGCAGAATGGGACTTTTGGCGGGCTCAGCAGGGCAGAGACAGCCTGGACAATTCCTATTGGCTTTTGAAAGCCAATAGAATTAGACTCTATTCAAGAGAGTCTATTCTATTGGCTTTCAAAAGCCAATAGAATAAAAGGGAGTAGCACAGCTAAGGAAAAGGGGGAAAAAATGGCGGACTGCGTTGTTTGGTGACCCCCGTGAAATGTTCGTTCGACCCCAAATGGTGTCCCGACGCACAGGTTGAGAACCACTGCCCTATAAGCAAAGTCAATGGGGAAGCAAATGGCGACCACATGACATCCTCATTTACTCACAATGTGGGATTTGCTTAACAATGGCAACTGGAAGCTCTGGAATTGTCATTGCTAAGTGGGGCAGCCATGTGATGTTGTGTTTTATAAAAGTGTCACTTAGTGATGGAAATTCCAGTCGCTATTGCCATTGTGGTTTCATTTTGCTCTGGAAAACCTCTGAAATAGTTTATGAATCTGATAACCTGTAGCAGTCCTAGTAGATTTAAGTCAAATTGGGAAAAAGTTAGTTTGAATATTAAAATTTAACATAGGTTGTTGGGAAAGAGCATTATATTTGAATCAACCCATTCTCTCTCAAAAGGAATGAACAAACTATTTCATGATTATGGTAATGAAAAACAAAATCCTACCTGAACCTAAAAGATGAACCTCTGGTAAAAAGAACAGGTTTAGGTTTGGGTTTGGGTTCCTCAAACAGCCTGAAGAAGGCATGGTGTTCTACACAAATTTTCCAAAATGCCTTGCACAAATCCCGACTAGCCATTAGAAATTCCAATGTGTCCTGGAAGTTACTCTGAAAAATAATTAAACTAGGTTTAGTATTGGAAAAAGAAAAGGAATAAAAACATATCAAAGAGAGAGAGGGTTTTTTTTTTCTTTTGAAATAAGCATTTTCTCTTTGGCTGTCTAGTGTACTTGAAGATGTAATATATTTTGTCTGCAATGAAGATGAAAACCTTTATAATTATGTGTCATGAGACTGATTCTTTGGATCTATGCTTGTTTTCCTCCTAAGTGTAGATAGCGTCCAGACAAGACCCAGATGAAATAATATATTATTCCTGTTATTCTTTTGGGTGAAAAGCAGAATAGACAGGAATTTTCTTGACATGTGAATTTTAAAGGAATATTTTGTGCAAAGTCCAACAATGTTAACATGACCACTTTCATTTCTTTAAAGCAATGCTTTGTAAGTTTAATTACTGGCTAACGTCATCTTCCCCTGATGCAGTTTTGCAGAAGTGTGAAGACATTACTACTTTTTTTTGTCAATTCTAAATTGTTCTACCTCAACTTCTTTTGTTAGATTCTCCCAAAATCCCAGCAGCAATAAAGAACTATGTTGCATCTATATGTTTGGCCTTGTGTTTATGTGTGTTGTGTATTTCATTTATTGTAGTTTTTTTAAAGACTGATGCCTAGCTTTATTTTGTTCATATTTTTTTCTTTCATTTTTAAGGCCATGCTTGTTTCTTGGGAGGAAGACAAGGAATATTCCTGTTAGGTGCCTGGGATTAGTTGTATGTGATTGTGTAGCTAATGTATTTCTGTAGTTGCTTTGTTGTGAGTTTTTGTGGCATAGGTTTTTTCCACCTGTGAGATGATTGCTAATGGAATGGAGTAGAATAGAGTAGAACAGAAGAGAAGAGAATAGGATAGGATAGAATAGAAAAACAGAATTGGAAGGGACCTTGTAGGTCATCTAGTCCAACCCCTGCCCAAGCAGGAGTCCCTACATCATTTCTGACAGATGGCAGTCCAGTTTCTTCTTGAAAGCCTCCAGTGATGAAGCACCCACAACATCTGAAGGCAGTCTGTTCCATTGGTTGATTGTTCTTACTGCCAGGAAATTTCTCCTTATTTCCAGGTTGAATCTTGCCTTGATCAGTTTCCATCTGTTATTCCTTGTCTGGCCTTCAGGTGCTTTGGAAAATAGGTTGACTCCCTCCTCTCTGTGACAGCCCCTCAAATATTGGAACACTGCTAACATGTCTCCCCTGGTCCTTCTCTTCACTAGAGTAGCCATGCCTAGTTCCTGTAACCATTCTTCTTATGTTTTAGCCTCCAGTCCCTTAATCATCCTTGTTGCTCTTCTCTGCACTCTCTCCAGAATCTCAACGTCTTTTTTATAGTGTGGAGATCAAAATTGGTTACAGAATTCTAGGTGTGGCTTTATAGAGTGGTATTAGTACTTCACATGATCTTGATTGAACCCTCTGTTAATGCAACTTAGGATTGTACTGGCTTTTGTTCTGTGTTGTGCTTATTCTGAAGGACAATCACATTTTTAAAAATTTATTTTATTTATTTATTTATGAGACTTATATACCGCTTTAAGTGCAAGCACTCTCTAAGCAGTGTACACCAGTAAGCAATGTATATATATATATTTACATTGCCCCCAACAATCTGGGTCCCCATTTTACCTACCCCGGAAGGATGGAAGGCTGAGTCAACCTTGAGCCGGTGAGATTTGAACCGCTGACCTGCTGAACACAGTCAGCTAAAGTGGCCTGCAGTACTGCACTCTAACTGCTGCGCCACCTCGGCTCAGGTGGTTGTGTGTTGCTTTGCTTGTGTATTTTTCTGCACTATTAACAATTTCTCACCTGTGAAATAGCCATTCTATTGTCCTTTATGAGAAAAATATATGCTTTGCAATTGGGACTCAGATTGTTATTTCTGCCCTGTGCTCGAGAGTGAACTGGACATGGGCATAATGAGCGTTGCCAGGGTGAAATAGCAGTTGGAAGGCAGAAAGTTGACCTGGAAAACAGTGCCTTTTTAAGTTACTCTTGCCTTGCACCTTTGTGATTTGGAGAGAAACGTGGGGCACAGAAATATGCCAGGAATAAATGAGGAGTTAATTTAAAGAAGTAATGAAAAGTATCCTAAATTACTAAAATCCCCAGAGGGTCTGCCCTTTTAGAGACTTACATTTACATCTGGCCGTAGTTTAATAAGAAAACGCTTCCTCTTAAAGCTGAGTTTCCGAACTTTAGACCAGTTGAATGCATTTATCTTCGTATAACCCTAATAATGATACATAATGAAGTAAAATAAGGTATTTGATAATCAGTTTGCATTACTGTCCCATATCAAACAAAAAATAAATAAAAAATCCCCTTGTAGATGGCTATTGGATCTTGTTAACCATGCCAAATTAACAAAGACATGGCTTATCTTACTTCTACCACAAATTTTACCAGTGATTTATGATCTGGAGAAATAGTCACAACAACCCAACCTTTGTTGTTTGCAATTTGGATTGCAAAATAGAACCACTTACGAACCTGAAACACCAGAATGCCTGTATGAGCCACTCCTAGATTGATCTTCGTTCCTTCTCTGTCCTTAGCTGGATGCAACCGCATTCCATACATTTCCAAACGACGGGCAATTTCAAGCAGCTGGAAATCGGACTCTGCTGGTGTCTGACCACTGAAGGAGTTATAATGCATTTCACAAGGTTAAATGAAAGTAGTTTTGAAGAACCTGGCTTTCCAAGGAAATACTGTTTCCGCCTCAAACAAACTCTGTTATTCATTGTAAGACAGAAATTAACTTTATAAGTCATATTGTCTAGTACAATATCCACTAGAATATACCATTTAACAGAGCGGAGAGTTTCATATATAAGAGCAATAAACCAGAAGCATAATCACCTTGTCTTCCCGCTCTTCTGCAAAGCAACCTAATGCTTCTTCCAAATTTGAAAGATATTGATTTCTAATTTTAAAAAAGGTTCTTCATCAATAATGCAAATATTTTGTATTAATCTCCCTACTTGATATATCATCATATCCAGATCGCCTCCTCCTTTTATATTTCTCAGACTTATTTTATAATTAAAATAAAAATATCCTTTATATATTTTCCACTGTATTAAGCATATCATTGGCATTCCAACATCATGCAATAGTCATGCTTAAGTACAATGTACTTACATATGATTATGATGAAATTCCATTATTTTGTCTTCTAAAGCTTCTTGTTGAGGTATATATTTGTTTTTTGCTAAGTGTTCATGATCAATGGTTTCATCAAAATCCCCAATTTCAGCTAAAGGAAAAAAATACTCAGTGAATAAAAATCTAAATTTGGAGAGGAGACTTCCACTGGAAGATATAAATCATCCTGATTCTATGAACTTTAGCAATATATTGTAGTTTGTTCAACAGGTAGTCCCTCCAGAGTGTTCAATTTTTATTTTCAATTTTTATTTTACATTTTCAATGTATTTTTCATGTGAAGGTGTGAAAACACATAGATAAAATACTGGGCAACTGCAGTTGTCATGAATTTAGGAAATAAAAAAAAAATCTACACCTTGTTTCAAATGGACACGGACAAACACACACACATCCAAACATACACATACACCATAACCATCATAATGCCCCAAGTCCTTCTGATTTCTTACAACATTTAGAGTTTCAGTGGATATCATCAGATATGATTAAGACACATCTTGAAGATTTCCATTTGAAACTCTTAATGTAAATACTAGCTATCAGTGGTTAATCTGTTATCTTAGACTTAGACACTTAAGACACCACACAAGGCTTGATTCAATGTAAACCAACAATTATTATAAAGGGAAATCTTTTGGGAAATTCACGTCATTATGGATTGGTAAGCTTACAAACAATACAGAAATTTAAATAGACAATGTTTTCTACATAAAAAAGAATATAATTTGATTATGTGTTTATGGAAATCATATGCTGTCAGATATTTAAATCCTCTTTGTTCATTGACAAAATTATCACAAGTATATAGGATTTTTTAAGAATGGTACTGTGTTATGTACTTGAGAAATATCATTTTAATTTGCATGTGTAACTAATAAATATATCAGATAGGTATAATAGATAAAATATATCATAGATAAAATATATCAATAAATATGATACCAGACAGGTATAATAGGTAAACTCTTCTTGCCAACCAGAACCACTTTTTGAAAGCCAATTCTGAAAAGCAAGATTACTTTCTAAAATATCCAAAATCTTGAGTTTCAGATCACTTAGATGACTAGACCTTCGTCCTTTACATTTTCAGTGAAACTGAAGAATTACTGGTTCTTTTGTAGGAGGATTTTGATTTCCAGCACCTCATGTAGTTTATTTTTCACTTTGTTTCATTAATCCCAATAGAATTGATCTCCAAAGTTTTAAAATTGTTAGAAAAGGAAGATGGATCTCCATGTGTCAATTCAAAGCTCTTCATGGATTGGGATACTTGGAATATGGAGATAGAAGACTTGGAAAATGAAATCACAGAGTTTTCTTCAGCATACTATTTCAGCATGTCATCTATTGTTATGGGCTTCAAAAAAATTACATACATATACAGTAGCTGTGCTGATTCTATTTGTAGCAGCCATCTGATCTACATTCAGATAATGAAATTAATCTAAAATTCTATACAACAGATTTTTTGCCAGGAATACTGAAATGTTTTTTATTTGATTATTTCCAGTAGCTCCTGTTTGGTCTTACACTTGCACATCTAAATGCAAAGCAACTAATCTTTAAGACCACTTTAGAGAGAAGAATGAAACATTTTTTTTTCAAAATATAAGCGAGCACCCATAAGAAAAAGCTGGGATTTGGCTAAGGTAGTTATACATTCCCCCATTGTTATTTTGCATTCTATTTTTAAAGATTGAGTATAGTCTCACTTTTACAGCTTCAGCCCTTAATGTTATGGAGATAAAGTCAGTGATTTTAGAAGGTCAACAAATGTAACTCTGAAAATAAACAAGGAAACAGTTTATTAGAAATTTTTCCCTCTAAACATAGACATTGCGGAACTACCACTGTACAAATATTTTAGGTAAATATTGCATAGTATCTGAGATACAAGAATACAGGAAAGAAAAAAAATAAACTTCTGGGAACAGCTTTATTTTCAGATTTGTAGTCTATAGAAAATGTTGCCTAATATCACACTGTTCAAAATGCAGAAGGTAAAAGATGAAAAAGCTTTACTTACACTGTACAATATGTGATATTAAAAGAGCAGCACTAGTGTCATTACAGGTTAGTCTTCCTTGTGCTAAATCCTGTTTAACTTGCAATGCAAATAAGTACCTGAAAAGGCACGTAAAAAAGAAAATATTACTAATGCTTTTAAGGAGTGTTCATAAAATCAAAATGTTTACACATCCCTTACTAACAAGTTTATTTAGGATGAACAACCTGTCCATACATTAGGGTTATCAGGTGGGGTCTTTCTCTGAAAACCTGATACATTATTTACATATAAAGTGTGCCTGTATCTTTGTGGTTCTAGCACCTTGAAATATCTTCTTTATGGAAGTCTCACTGCTGACACTATTAGAATATTTGTGGTGTCCAGTCAAGCATCTCCCCATTTTTGTGTAAACTTTTTTAAAGTTTCCATTTCTAAATATTTAATTTTTATGTTATTATTTGTAATTCTGAATGTGTATATTGTTCATATAACACTAATTTATCCTTACAAGAACTGTAACTATAACCAAAACATTTTTTGCACAACAAACTTCACAAAATGTTTTTACAAATTATAAGCACCCTAGATTATTAATTTCACAACTGTGACCATCAATTTAGCCCTATTAGAGGAGGGGAAAATACTACCAGATACTTCAGTCAATGATGAAGTACAATTTTCATTTCTGCATCATGAAAAAAACTGTCTTTTCATTGTTATTAGAGAACACCATTTGACTTAGTATTTTCTTTGAAAGATGTCATAAGATCCAAAGATTCGGCAAGGAATACCTTCGTACAATCACTCCGTTGATTTTGAGAGTAATAGGAAATCTCCCTGCCATCTCTCAAGCTCTGATTTCTCTATGCAGAGAGTGAGAGAATGGACACAGCTGTGGACAGACATTATTCAGCAGAAGGTTACTTAAAACATGGAAAATCAGGGGTAGGAAAAGGGACGGAAAAAAATCAGTGGGGATAAAATCCTCAGTGAATGCATACTGGTAAGAGCAGCCTTTCCCAATTAACTACTCTTCAGATGCCAGTGACTAATCTAGCATGCTGGGTAACAGCAATATGAAATAAACAATTATGGATTAAATTATAATATTAGCAAGTGCTGACAATTCATTTTAAAATATGAAGATACTGGGCTACGGAAATAAAAATCAGCTCTATTCCCAGTTAAAAAATAAATCTGAATATAACAACAGAACAAATTAAACCAAATTTTAGATCAGTCATTCGAAAGCCTGGAATCCTTTCAAGTAAACTCCTGACCTCACTTTAAAATGGTTTATTTTAAAATTTGGTATGAATATTTCCATTCTTGTTAGGTTGATGAAGAGGAACTTAAAATGGATGCTTACACCAACCTTGTTAATTCTTCTTGTAGCTGAGCATGATCAGGTGGGAAGAATTTTACCACAAATTTTAGAATGACATGCTTAGGTCCTAAGAGACAAATTGAAGGACAAAAGTCATGAAGTTATTGTTTACATATATTGCATAAAATTATTTCATCCATAGTATGTCTTTAGAAGTGACTGAATAATGTAATATTAGTAAAAAGTTAACCAATGCAAAATCAAATATAATATTGACTAAACCAAACTATGTCTCAGACTGAAATGGAGAGAGCAAAAGAAATGTAGCCACTGTTTTAATAATTCTAGGATCTTACTTGAAAAAACAATAGTCAATTTTTTGCAGGGCAAACCAATTTATATGAAATTATCTTGCAAATACTAATCTCTGATTTTTGAGATTTTTAATAATCAAATAATAATTTGTAATATCTTAAAAAATATTCTGATGGTTAGGGTTTTATTGCTTCAAGTCATTCTTGACTCCTGGTAACTTCCTGGACAGGTTCCTGCAGTTTTTCTGGCCAAATGGAGGAGGAAATTTGCATTACCTTCTTCTTCCTATGGCTGATACAGTATGATGGCCCAAAGTCATCCAGTTGGTTTCCTGTCTAAAAGGGGATTAGAACCTATAGTCCTCCATTTGTTGTGGGAGTCTTGTGCTTTAGCCACTATACTTTAATTGACTTAGTATTAAAACAAAAATGTAAGTGGTAAGACATTTTTATATACTATCTCCCCTATAATGCAGCTAATGGGACCATCTGATATCTAGTATTTGCATACATTTTTCATAAATCATAAATGTCTAATATAGAAACATGAACTTCAGTCTCTGGTTTTTCTTTCAAACTTTATACAGAGGAGCTATCTCTGTTTTATTCAAGGAAGATTTATTTCTCTGATTCTTTGTATGAAGTCACACTTTTCTCATATTAGTTTACGTGGGAAGAAATACGACTTCAAGAAACTAAAATTTTGAAGTTTGTTTGAAAATTGTGCCAAATTGAACTCTTTTTTATGGATATAGGCAATTTTTGACTACAGCATAATCTAGGTCAGGGCTTTTCAACCTTTTCATCCATTGTACCACTTTTAGGATATGGCAATATCCAAGTACCACCAGTCACCTAGCAAAGTGTCAAAAACTTGATGACCCCCCCCCAAAAGGAAAAAAAGTGATAAAGTATGGGTAGTCCTTTACTTACAACAGTTCACTTAGTGACTGTTTGAAGTTACAATGGCACTGAAACAAGTGCCCCCCACGCCACAGCCGAGCAAGACACCTGCCTGCCCGCCCGGCCGCGCTCTTCCTCCTGTCCAAGGCCCCTAATATGACCATCAATATTCTACTTTGAAAACCATATAGTTAATCAGGTATTTGTAAGCCTCATTCTTTGGTCCTAACATGGTCCTTAATAATTAATAATCACCTTGTATTCTTCCCCTTTGTTTTAGTTTTTTAACCTTAGCACTTTATATGAGAATTCCATCAAATATTAAATTCCAAGGTAGTAGTACAGTGGTACTCAACTGCTTTGAAATTTATAGAATTTGGTACTCAATGCATTTTGATGAGAAAACTTTGTCCCAGTACTCATTGCTTACTTGGTAGTCAATGCACAAAGTTAGAATTTGTCAGTGTCGGCTGCCTTGTGATTCGCTACATTATTCCTTTTGGGAATAAGGAATATTTTCACTGTAGGAGAAAATATGTGAAATTTTGTTTTGGCTATATGCTATTTATACTTGTTCTTCTTCTTTAATCTACATAGACAAAAAACGCTCTGCTCAAAAAATTCAGACTACCTAGTTCCTGAACTAAATATTTAAGTGATTAAAAGGAAAATGTACAATTAACAAACTTGTATCACTATTGTTACTCAGGATTGGTTTAGTAAAGATATTACTAGAAGTAAACCTTGCCTAAGTTTGTATGCTGTAATAGGCAGAAAGACAGAAGGTGAGGTCCAATAAATATACAGTATTCAAAAATAACATTTTTTTCTCTCCTAAATCAAATAAATTCTGGTGTTAACTGATACTCTTTGTCCTAACCATCTGCTAAAAGGACAGGTGCATCTAATCTTCTTTATCTGGCACATTTTTATACTCCAACATTCTCAAACATTTATAGTCAGGGCAATGTTCAAATATGGCCTAAGCATGTAAAATTCAATTATACATATTATTTTGTCTATACATTTAATAGTTCAAATAAAATCAGGGAAGGCTAAGTATTATCTGAAACTGGATCTATATTTGTACCAAAAGAAAACTGTCAACACATACTTTTGATTTGTTTTATGATAGGTTTCAAAAGATCCAGCCAAACCTGGGGGAAAAGAAAGGATACAATCACTGATGCAGCTAAAACAAAAAACAGAGCTCTGCAGTTTAATTTCTAACCCAATCATTCCTAGATTGCATCATTTTACCAGATCTGAACTGTATAAATTCAGATGATCAATGGATATTGCATTTGGCAATCATCGTAGTTTTTTCCAAGTTAGATTTCATAGCCCTATTTTAAGATGAAGGAGAAGACAGCTAATTTCATTGGACAGAGTGCAATCAGGACAGGAGACACAAATCTGGATTACAAACTCAAGGAGTAATCATACACATAGTAGGATATAAACTGTACTAAACTAAAATGTGTTAACAATAGTGATATCTTGCCAAAAAAACCCCAAACTAATTATAGCATGATCTATTATCCACACAACTACTAAAATTAAACAAAGAGAACCCAATTAAACAAATGAGTCAAAAACATTTTACTTGTTCGTTTATTTATTGAGGAAAATGATCCAAAGTTGCATATAGGTGTGTGGTTGAATAATGTGAACCTTTGCTTTTAGTAACTGTGCTCCCCTTTGGACAGCAATAATTGCAACTAAAAGTTTCTGATAATACTTGATCAGTCCTTCATTGATTTGGAGGAATTTTAGATTCAACTCTGAAATGTGGGTGGGTTTCTTTGCATGAACTGCCTGCTTCAGGTCTTTTAACAATATTTCTCTAGGGTTATTAAGATCAGGACTTTGATTTGGTATTCCAAAACATTAACTTTCTTCTGCTTCGTTGGTTATACAACTTGTGTGTTTTGGGTTACTGTTTTGCTGAATGACCCACTTCTTCTTAAGCTTCAGATTACAAACATCCTATAGAATTGGTTGGAACAATTCAGAATTCAAAGTTCAAAGTTCCATCTTGGTTTACAGACCATGATACTGCCCACCATGATACTAATCCCAATACAAATGGGATAAGGTTCTCCTGCTGGAATGCAGTATTTGCCTTTCACCAAACACAACAAGCCAAAATTTCTAGTTTTAGACATTACCTGGGCTCTTGAAAACATCTCGGAATTATTACAATGATGTTGAATTGTCTCCTTTTTTATACAATCAGCATGACAGTGGACTGGTGGAGTTCAAACTCTCAGGAAATCTTTTCTAACCTGATGAGCATCAACCAGGGTATTTTGGAGGTCTCAAGAAATGTTCATTGTTCAAGCCATGACACACTGCACAAACCGATGCAGGCCACTTTAGCTGACTGTGTTCAACAGGTCAGTGGTTCAAATCTCACCGGCTCAAGGTTGACTCAGCCTTCCATCCTTCCGAGGTAGGTAAACTGAGGACCCAGATTGTTGGGGGCAATGTAAATATATACATACATTGCTTACTGGTGTACACCGCTCAGAGAGTGCTTGCACTTAAAGCGGTATATAAGTCTCATAAATAAATAAATAAATAAATAAATAAGAGCAGTCTGATAGTAAACAGCCATAATTCTGTTCTTTAAATAAGGCAGAATCTCCCACACTCATACCTGATTAACATCAGGTAATCATCATTTGATTAAAATACTAATTTCTCGACTTTCAATTTGATGTCACAGCGTGACGGATGCAGGAAGACAGGGCTCCACCTTCTGCGTTCGATTTCGCCCCGCTGGGGACCCTAAAAAGGGTCAAAAGTCATCCTGAAGAGGTGACGAAGGAGGGGACCCTTGCTGATCACGGAAGGGCAGAGGTCCTTCCTTTTGATCTGAGGAAGTTCTCCAAACTGGCGGGGGAAAGACTGGCTACATTTGTGTAGACAATCAGACAACCGAAGGAAATAAGCACTAATGAGAACTTTTGAGCAACGTGGATAAAACTGGGTGACTCTATCCTCTCTTTATAACTATAAGACTTTTTCCTGGAAAAAACTGCCCAAAGCAAAGAATCCTCCCCGATGAGAAAGGGAAAGGGAATTTCTGCCCCATTCCCCCAGGAAAAAAAGCAGCAGACTAACTGCTTGGGGGAAAATGGAGAAAATTATAAGATTAATTTGGAATCAATATAGATATATAGCCTTGAAATTTGGGGACTAAAAGTGCTTTTGAGACTTTTTTTAGAAAAGAGACTTGAAAAGCTTGCAATATAAGTTTGAAGCTGGAAGAAGGCGTTAACGACATCTAGTGGCGAACCATGGCACTACAACTTATTATGCTTAAAGGAAATTTGGCCTGAAGCCCAGACTCAGATAAGACTTTAGGTGTCCTTGGAAGGGAAAAAAAACCTCTTGGGCTGCTTATCTGCATGGCAGAGACAATAATCTATTTTGAAATTGGCCTGCTTGGATTATGAATATAAATAAAAACTGACTTTCAGAGCTGTGTCATGGAACTATTCCCCTGTAGAAGAAATAGGCATGACTGATTGAGATGATGGAACACTTTGGATTATAAACTTTTGATTGATGAATAACTTTTAATTGTTTATTTTCTCACTGGACAGAAAGGATATGTTTTTCATTGGACAGAAAATCTGGACTTTGCTTATATTTGTTTAGGGGAGGCCTAAGGATGGACTGACAGGCTGGCTGGATAATTTGGAGTTCAAATGACAATTGACTGAAACTTTTTAAATCTCAAAATAGATTGGACTATAAAGATGACATACAAAAACAAAATGGATGTTCCACACTTAGTCTTAAATGGTAAAAAAACATCTCTAACATTTGTTTCCAAAACCCCCAGCTTCACATACCAACAAAAAATGTTGATGAATCTCAGAAAGAAATTCTTTCGATGTTGAAATCAATACAAGAGACAATTGTCTTAGCTCATGATGAGACTAAAAATAAGGCAAAGGAGATAAAAGAACAACTTTCTAATCTAAACTTACAAATTCAGAAAATGACTACAAAAGGGGAATTAATAACCCAGAAAATAGAAGGAAAATTAGAGGAAGCAGATCCAAAGATGGAGGACCTAAAGGAAGGAATTAACAGAGAGACTCAGACAAACGAAGAATTAGAAGATGCAGCGATAATGCCGGAAATTGAAAAGTTATCTTACTTGTCAAGATCTCAGATCACATTTGAGGATAAGGAAGAAGAGCTGACTGAATGGAAGATAAAGCTGTCAGGAGAATTGTGGAATATTGGAGGAGGGAGGCGGTTTAATTAATATAAATGGACTGAGTGTTCTTCCAAAAATACTTTAGTCAAATTGTCTTTCTTACTTCAAACAATATACACAAAAATAGGGGAAGAACTACTTGAGGACTCAAATGCATTGACTTGGAAAGTTAGTTAGCAAAGGAAGAAAGCCAGAGTAAGACTGAAGAAAATAGAGATTTTGATCCATTAGATAGGATATTATGTTATTAAAAAGATGTTCAACATGGCTAATAAAATAGATAATTGTTAGAAATAAAAGTATTACTATAACTAGAAAGATAGGATATGCAACTAGAATACTATATTTTGGTATGAGAAGGGAAATATGAAAATGCCAAGAGGGTCTGAATAAGGGAAACTTTTGGTTACCCAATATAATTTACTATGAGAAAACTATAAGTGATAGAGATGGGATATTATATTATTAAACAGATGTTTGAATATGGTTAAGAAAATAGATAACTGTTAGAAATAAAGGTATTATTATAACTAGAAGGATAGGATTTCTAACTAGAATATTATATTTTGTTATGAGATGGGAAATATGAAAATTTTAAAAGGGTTTGAATAAGGGAAGCTTTTGGTTATCCAAATATAATATATTATGAGAAAAATATAAGCAATAGAGATATTTTGAACATTGATGGGAATTTTTTTTTTTGAAAAAGCGGGAAAAACAGGATACTGATGGAACAAATGAATTTTAAGTGCAAATCCAATTGAGATATGTTTTGGCTAGAAAAATTATAAACTGATGTTACTGATATTATGTATAATACCATAAAAATGAGATGAAGATGCCTATATTTAATTGTATATATATTAACAGTAACAAGAATTGTATTTGCCCAGTGTGGAAAAATGCATATGACCGGAAGAAGAGAGGACCAAAGAAACATTGGATGGTGTACTATTGGAACTAGACTGAGAAAGTTAATATGCACCACTGAATTACCAATGGACCCAGACAACATGTTTATTAAGTATTTATTATTGTAAAATTAGAAAATTAATAAAATGTTTACAATAAATAAATAAATAAAATACTAATGTCTCCTTCAAATAAGCTCATATTCCAAGAGGTTGACATACTTTTGCCACAAGATATAAAAATATATATCTTTGGATCATTTTTTTCAATAAATAAATGAACAAATATAATGTTTATGATTCATTTATTTAATTTGGTATTATTTTTTTTTAATACTTGTGTGAAGAACAGATCACTTTCACATCATATTTATAGAGAAATATTGAAAATTCAAAGAGTTCACAAACTTTTAAGCACCACTGTATATTGCATTCATACTAATGTATTTGTGGATGCAATACACACACAGAGAGATTCCCATAGAGTTAAATATGTTTAACTCCTAGATAGTAAAAGGGCAAACTTTTTTCTCAAAAAAAGAAATCTCACTTTTATCTTGAACAAGAGGGCTTGAAAGAATCATACATTTATTCACGTTAAATTTGAATAGCTCTTCATTATACCAAGTTAAAAGCATATATCCTCATTTCAGAAAAATAGCCTCAGGACCCACAACAACAACAACAATAATATATTGTGTGTAAGTTCTAGACCATTAATACATTTTGATTATTTTGAGGAAAAAACAATTATTTTAAAATTGTTTTTGTTAGCCAATAAAAACTTCTATGTCTTAGTCATTTATATTCATATGTGAAAAATCAGTTTTTAGGTGTTTTTTTTTTAAAAAAAACAGATCTTGGTGTTTCTTGGTTCTATTAATGTTATGTTTTGAACTTCACATTTGGCACGCTGAAAAATGTGTGCATGGCCAAAGAATGACTAAAATGACTAAAATATAATCCAGTTACAAAATGACTGTAATATAATCCAGTTACAATTGCATGGATACCCAACACAGGAGTGGAAAGCTTTACCATGTTATTTCTGGCACAGAGATGATAAACTCAGAAAAAAAACTGCACAGATTACACTCCTCTATAGTAGCAAGTGACCCTCTCTTACAAAAGCTTAAAATACAGAACAATTGTCAAGGTACAACAGATTTGTTTTCAGTAGAAGAGAGGAAAAAAAGGACAAACACATGTTATTTTCATAATGTTAAACATAATGAACTGGATAGCTATCACTCAGTCCATCATTAAATATCTTTCCATCAAGACTGGATTTTTGTTCTTGAAATAATAAAAAAACCCTGTCCAATAGATATGTGCACACATTTTAGTAAAACAGAAGTGTAAATTCTGTAGTCTATAATAATATGTTTTACTCTACTGCTGTGTATATTATTTATGGACAAGCATATTGCACATTTGTGATTGATTAATTGTGATGTGTTTGATGGAAAGCTGCAATTACACTGTCTATTTTAGATAAATTTTGTATACAACTTTCCTCATCATCACGTAGCTAGGAAACAATGTTTACTCATATGCTCTTGCATATCTACTTTGCTTTCAAGTGAGTAAAACTAGAAAATATTTTATGGCAGATAGGAAGTGGCAAACTTTTAAGAGCATGAACAGATTATAAAATGATATCATGGGAGAGATGATTTAGGCAAAATATCTTTACATACCATGACCTTCTTATGATCCAGAAACTCAAGGCCAAAATAATCACCTTCAACAAGATTCAGATGGTTGCAGACTGCATCCAATAAAATCTTTCCGGGAGCTCTTTGCTGCATTGAAGAACAAATATTATATATAATATATGTAAAAATGAAAAACCCACATTAAAAATCCATTTCAAATTCAAATTATTTTGTCTTCTCACATATAGGCGAGTAGATAACAAAATCATGTTTTCCTGTGCACAGTCTATTTTTAGGTGAATGTCAAAGTATTGAAGGCCCTATGGTGTCTCTGCTTTACTTTATAGTAGAATGAGTTAGTTGAAGAGTGGAGAGGAAGGCACCAGGTAGGCTAGCTGCATACTCTTCCATTTAGTTCTTCAGCTGCTAGGTAGCTATTTTCCCTCTAAGAAATAGGAGGGAAAAGTACCACTAATTTCTAAGTTTGAAATTTACACACACACACGCACACACACACACACACACACACACACACACACACACAGATAAAAAGGGAACAATTGCAACAATAACCATGAAAGAGATTCTAGATTCCCCACTATAATAATCTGAATTTTAGCATATTTTTAATCTCTTCTCCCAACTCTTTTTGTTTTTTTGTTTTGGAAAACATAAATTTCCATTTCAGATAAGCCTGTTGACAATGTACCGTAAATGCTGGCGTATAAGGCGACTTCCGCGAGCGCTGAAATCGGCGCCAAAGACGGGGGTCGTCTTATACGCCGAGTCGTCTTATACGCCGGAAATACTGATAGTTTCCGGCGTATAAGACGACGTTCTAGGAATGTTGTTGTTGTTGTTAATTGCGAAGTCGTGTCCGACCCATTGCGACCCCATGGACAACATTCCTCCAGGTCTTCCTGTCCTCTACCATCTTCTGGAGTCCATTTAAGTTCACACCTACTGCTTCAGTGACTCCATCCAGCCATCTCATTCTCTGTCGTCCCCTTCTTCTATTGCCCTCAATCTTTCCCAGCATTAGGCCCTTCTCCAGTGAGTCCTTCCTTCTCATTAGGTGGCCAAAGTATTTGAGTTTCAACTTCAGGATCTGGCCTTCTAAAGAGCAGTCGGGGTTGATCTCTTCTAGGACTGACCGGTTTGAACGCCTTGCAGTCCAAGGGACTCGCAGGAGTCTTCTCCAGCACCATAGTTCAAAGGCCTCAATTCTTTTGCGCTCAGCCTTTCTTATGGTCCAACTTTCACAGCCATACATTGCAACTGGGAAAACCATGGCCTGGACTATGCGTACTTTTGTTGGCAGGGTGATGTCTCTGCTTTTTAGTATGCTGTCTAGATTTGCCATAGCTTTCCTCCCCAGGAGCAAGCGTCTTTTAATTTCTTGGCTGCAGTCCCCATCTGAGGTGATCTTTGAGCCCAGAAAAATAAAATCTGTCACTACCTCCATTTTTCCCCATCTATTTGCCAGGAATTGAGAGGGCCAGATGCCATATTTTGGTTTTCTTAATGTTGAGTTTCAAGCCAACTTTTGCACTCTCCTTCACCCGCATCAAGAGGCTCTTTAGTTCCTCTTCACTTTCTGCCATTAGAGTGGTATCATCTGCATATCTTAGGTTGTTGATATTTCTCCCGGCAATCTTAATTCCAACTTTTGATTCATCTAGCCATGCCTTTCTCATGATGTGCTCTGCATATAAGTTAAATAGGCAGGGCGACAGTATACAGCCTTGCCGGACTCCTTTTCCAATTTTGAACCAATCAGTGGTTCCGTGTTCGGTTCTCACTGTTGCTTCTTGACCCGCATATAGGTTTCTCAAGAGACAAATGAGATGGTCTGTACTCCCATCTCTTTAAGAACTTGCCACAATTTGTTGTGATCCACACAATCAAAGGCTTTTGCATAGTCAATGAAGCAGAAGTAGATGTTTTTCTGGAACTCCCTAGCTTTCTCCATGATCCAGCGTATGTTGGCAATTTGATCTCTAGTTCCTCTGCCTCTTCGAAATCCTGCCTGTACTTCTGGTAGTTCTCGATCCACATACTGCTGGAGTCTAGCTTGTAGGATTTTAAGCATAACTTTACTAGCATGTGAAATGAGTGCAATGGTGCGATAGTTTGAACATTCTTTGGCATTGCCTTTCTTTGGAATTGGAATGTAAACTGACCTTTTCCAATCCTGTGGCCACTGTTGAGTTTTCCAAATTTGCTGGCAAATTGAGTGTAGCACTTTTACTGCATCTTCTTTTAAGATTTTGAATAGCTCAGCTGGAATACTGTCACCTCCACTAGCTTTGTTGTTGCTCAGATTTTCTAAGGCCCATTTCACTTCACATTCTAGGATGTCTGGTTCGAGGTCAATGACCATCTCATTGTGGTTATCTGGGATGTTAAGCTCATTCTTGTATAGTTCTTCTGTGTAGTTTTGCCATCTCTTCTTAATCTCTTCTGCCTCTGTTAGGTCTCTGCCATTTTGGTCCTTTATCATGCCCATCTTTGCATGAAACGTTCCCTTCATATCTCCAATTTTCTTGAAGAGATCTCTGGTCCTCCCTGTTCTGTTGTTTTCTTCTATTTCTTTGCACTGTTCATTTAAGAAGGCATTCTTATCTCTTCTAGCTACTCTCTGGAATTCTGCATTCAGTTGTGTGTATCTTTCTCTTTCTCCTTTGCCTTTCGCTTCCCTTCTTTCCTCAGCTATTTGCAAAGCTTCCTGAGACAGCCATTTTGCTTTCTTGCATTTCCTTTTCTTTGGGATGGTTTTAGTTGCTACCTCTTGTACAATGTTGCGAACTTCCATCCATAGTTCTTCAGGCATTCTGTCTATCAGATCCAGTTCCTTAAATCTATTTGTCACCTCTACTGTATATTCATCAGGAATATGATTTAGTTCATACCTGAGTGGCCTAGTGCTTTTCCCTACTTTTTTCAATTTAAGCCTAAATTTTGCAACGAGAAGCTCATGATCTGAGCCACAGTCAGCTCCTGGTCTTGTTTTTACTGACTGTATAGAGCTTCTCCATCTTTGGCTGCAGAGTACATAGTCAATCTGATTTCTATGTTGACCGTCTGGTGATGTCCATGTGTAGAGCCGTCTCTTGGGTTGTTGGAAAAGAGTGTTTGTTATGACCATCGTATTCTCTTGACAAAATTCTATTAGCCTGTGCCCTGCTTCATTTTGTTCTCCAAGGCCAAACTTGCCTGTTATTCCGGTTATCTTTTGGCTTCCTACCTTAGCATTCCAATCCCCCATGATGATAAGGACATCATTTTTTGGTGTTAATTCTATAAGGTGCTGTAGGGCTTCATAGAACCGGTCAATTTCATCCTCTTCAGCACCAGTGGTTGGGGCATAGATTTGGACTACTGTGATATTGAATGGTTTGCCTTGGATTCGAATTGAGATCATTCTGTCATTTTGGGGATTGTATCCCAGTATTGCTTTTCCTATTCTTTTATTGACTATGAAGGCTACTCCATTTCTTCTGAGGGATTCTTGCCCACAGTAGTATACCTGATGGTCATCTGAGTTAAATTCACCCATTCCTGTCCATTTTAGTTCGCTGATTCCTAAGATGTCGATGTTCATTCTTGTCATCTCTTTTTTGACTACGTCTAGCTTGCCTTGATTCATGGATCTTACATTCCAGGTTCCTATGGAGAAAAAATCTTTACAGCATCGGACTTTCCTTTCACCACCAGATATATCCACAGCTGAGCGTCCTTTCGGCTTTGGCCCAGTCGCTTCATTCTTTCTGGTGTTACTAGTACTAGCCCTCTGCTCTTCCCCAGTAGCATATTGGACACCTTCCGACCTGAGGGGCTCATCTTCCAGCGTCATATCTTTTTGCCTTTTAGTACTGTCCATGGGGTTTTCATGGCAAAGATACTGGAGTGGTTTGCCATTTCCTTCTCCAGTGGATCACATTTTGTCAGAACTCTCTTCTATAACCTGTCCGTCTTGGGTGGCCCTGCACGGCATAGCTTATAGCTTCATTGAGTTACGCAAGCCCCTTCGCCACGACAAGGCAGTAATCCATAAAGGGGTCTAGGAATACGGCCCGGCTATAAAGACGGGGGTCGTCTTATACGCCGGGTCGCCTTGTACGCCGGCATTTACGGTACTGTAATTGTAAACTATCCTATATAAACCTTGAGGCATCCGTGCTGACATTGAGGTTTTCAGGATTCACCATAAAAGCCTATGCCCTATGTAAATTTGTTCAGATGTAATTCCCAGTATTTAGTTCTGATTATTTTCCTGCAGTTATGTTTAGAATTTCAGCCAAAATATTAGATAGATAAATGTCTATGGAGATTCTCAGTCATCCAGGTCACAGTAATTCCAAAGATGCTTTTTTCACGAGGCAACTGGACTTTCTTGTTTTTTCTTTGAAGATGTTTCGCTTCTCATCCAAGAAGCTTCTTCAGCTCTGACTAGATGGTCATCTTAATGTTTCCATTCCCCATCATCCAGTCAGAGCTGAAGAAGCTTCTTGGATGAAAAATGAAACATCTTCAAAGAAAAATCAAGAAAGTCTACTTGCCTCATGAAAAAAGCTTCTTTGGGATATTAGCTAGATGATGATGATGATGATGATAATAATGATGATGATGATGACGACGATGACGAAGACAATGATGATGATAAAGTTGGAAGGGATCTTGGAGGTCATCTAGTACAACCCCCTGCTCAGGCAGGAAACCCTATACCAGGGGTAGGCAACCCAAAACACTCAAAGAGCCACTTGAATCCGTTTCCCACCAAAAACAAAACACCGGGAGCCGCAAAACCCTTTTGATATCTAAAATGAAGATAACACTGCATATATCCTTTTTTATCTTTATTATAGGTGTGTGTGTGTGTGTGTGTGTGTGAGAGAGAGAGAGAGAGAGAGAGAGAGAGAGAGAGAGAGAGAGAGAGAGAGAGAGAGAGTGTTTGTGTATGTGTATGTGTATACACACACACACACACACACATTAAAAATAAAAGTAAAAATATGACTCTTGGGAATATCCATACTATTAAAACAATGATCACCGAGAGAATGCTTTAAGAGAATAAAATTACATACACACACAGGTAAAAAAAGGATATATGCAGTGTTATCTTCATTTTAGATGTCAAAGGG